TTTCTTTCTTTCTTTCTTTCTTTCTTTCTTTCTTTCTTTCTTTCTTTCTTTCTTTCTTCCTTCCTTCCTTCCTTCCTTCCTTCCTTCCTTTCTTTCTTTCTTTCTTTCTTTCTTTCTTTCTTTCCTTCCTTCCTTCCTTCTTTCCTTCCTTCCTTCCTTCTTTCCTTCCTTCCTTCCTTCTTTCCTTCCTTCTTTCTTTCTTTCTTAAGTCCATCGTCTTCCTACTGTTTGTTTTGGAGCACTTTTTAGCCATGTTCATCTAGACCCTTCTTTTAGGAGCCTGCTTCTATGAGGAACTTTTAAGACATTCATTGGCTATTCAAGTGATGAAAATAGCAAGCATATTTGTAGATATCTAAGGCTACTTGGAAACCATTTCATGTAACATCCTGGTACATCTGGCAGCAAAAGTCCTCCTTTTTTACACAAAAATAACAAACAGGAAGTAGCCCATGGGGTGGAGGGAGACGCTTGCTGGGTACAGTGACAGACTTCAGTTGGGCCCGTGTATTTTGCCAAAAACAAAATGTCTTAAATTTTTGTACTTATAGTTGTGGCCCTAATTTTTTAGCTTTTTTTAACTTTTTTTTATCTTTTATCTAGAATAATATAGATTTTTTTTGCCATTTTTTGTCTTGTCCAAAATCTTCACCAGATCCTGCCTCATGATATTAAACCTCTGTTGGTTCTTCTAAGTTATATTTTAATCAGAAGGCCTAATAGGGATGCCTGTGTCTGCTAGTGACTATCAGGTTGGCATCAAAGTCTGGTCAGAGAGGCAAGCAGCCCTAAGCCAGGAGGTGGCCTGGGCTGATTTTTTTTTTCCTCCATGAGAAAGTTGCTTTTATCTCCTCTCTTATTTGGTTTTTCTTTTGGCAACAATTTTGTCTTGACTTTTTAAAATGGATTTTTTTAAGGCTTAGTCCTCTAAGTATAAACTAGAATTGGCAAAATTAATAGGATTTTTACATATATCAAATGACAGAGTCTCTGGTTTGATAAATGCAGACTCAATTTGAGGACATTGAAGGATAAACATTTTGGTCCAATCCATGACATTTGAGAAAAATTGACACCCAGAAGACCTGTTATTTAGTTTCTCTTTGTGGGATATTCTTTTTGTACATTATAAATATGCGTCTCTGCCTAAGGCACCTTCTGATTGGCTTACTAAAGAGCCAAATGACCAATAGCTAGGCAGGAGAGAATAGGCAGGACTTCTGAGGAGAGAAAGGACTCTGGGAAGAAGAGAGGTGGAGACACTGGTGAAACACAGAGCAAGCTGGACATACAAAATGTTAGAAAGGTAAAAAGCCATGTGGCAGAATGTAGAGTAATAGAAACAGATTAGCTTAAGTTGGAAGAGCTATTGGGAACAAGCCTAAGCCAAGGCAAGCTTCCAGAATTAGTAAGTCTCTGTGTCGTTCTTTGGGGGCTGGCAGCTGGCAAGAAAGTCTGACTACGGTCTCTTTTTAAGAGCAAATAGTTATTGACTGTAGTAAACAAAAGCTTACTTATGTTACACTGATTGAGGAATAAAAATCATTAAAGGCTTTTATTTATATCTTTAATTATTATAGTATTTTAGTGTTGTTTCCCATTTTTTTTCAAATAAGAGTTGAATCCAAGTTATATATACAATATGCTATAGTAAATTAAAATTACCCATGTATAGATTTTTAATTATCAACCTTTTTTGTTATAAGTTTTAAGTTAACATTTTGTTATAGACTTTATAAATCTTTAACTATGCCCAATAAATTTATAGATCTTGAGGTACATAAAGTTCATATAATAATATTACAAATCTTGAGATAAATTTTTTATTTCAGCAAAAGCCTTACAAAGTCAAATGAAACCATTTTTGTTCTGTTTTGCTCTTTCTTTCTGTCACAAAATCAGGTGGGTCACCAGTCATAGGACATACAGGAAACTTTCAAATAGGCATGTTTGGGTCTAGAGAGGGGAGCCACAGCCCAACACCAGCACCGGGTTTGCAGTGAAGCAGGACAGCATAAAGCAATGTTTTCAATATTATCCATACCTAAAAATTGAACCCATTGACCAGGCAGAGCAACCTGAGAACAGAGAGGGCTCGAAGATAGAAATTATGAGCTCTGGTTATTAAATCAGTCATGGCAAGTGACCAAAGTGGCCACTGGGTTGATTGGTTTTCTCCTGCCAGACCCACTCCTCCCTTTCCATTTTGGGCAACAGTTTTTTTTCCTCTGTGCTTTCCACTGTTCACCCTTCTGCCTGTGTAGTGTTTTATCCCAGCCAGCACCTAGCAGCAGACTCAGGAGGGAAAACAAAGCCACACAAAGTTTTCTGGCAGCTGAGGTGGGGTAGGCCCCTGTGGCAGCTTTAAAAACACAGCAAGAACAAAACAATAAACACAGAACACAAAGCAATCAAGGGATGGAATCAGCAAAAATAAAACCAGTAAACATAGTACACAGAACATTCACATAGTCAAAAGGGACCAATCAAAAACAAAATGTGCTGGCCAACTTCATTCATACATTTAACTGGGTTTGACCAATTTCCATCTTGAGTCCCAGTATCCAAGAACCAGGAAGGCAGAGTGACTTTTTTGTTTTTGTTTTTGTTTTTGAGACGGGGTTTCTCTGTGTAGCTTTGAGCCTTTCCTGGAACTCACTCTGTAGCCCAGGCTGGCCTCAAACTCACAGAGATCTGCCTGCCTCTGCCTCCCGAGTGTTGGGATTAAAGGTGTACGCCACCACCTCCTGGCTCAGAGTGACTTCTTATTAGTGCCCTGAGCAGGAGACAAACAAAACACAGGGGACCAAGAACCAGGTGTCACAAACAAACAAACAAAAAAACAGGTGGGCAGTACAGTGTCTTGCTAGTGCCCTGGACAAGAGTTCATGTATCTTATCAGGTAGTTCTCGTCCCCCCAGACAGGATCCTACCAGAAACAGCACCAGATGCCATAGAAGGAGGCACCCTCTATGACTTACTGATGGAGGCCCCTCAGACAGTTGCTTGCTAGTTTCTTTTTAGTGTGGCAGTTTGCTCCAACAATCCACCAAACCAAAGGCGTGGCTCATAGCCTAGAAGGTATCTTTAAGGTACACATCTCCTGAGGCAGCATTCCCATCCTGGAGTCCTGGAGTGAAGGTCTGGCTTCAGAATTTGGGTTCGGATCATGATCTTTCTGGGGCCTCTAACTGTTAACCCCATCCAATAAGAGTAAAGACTATTACCCAAATTCCTTGGAGATTAAGGAAACTTTATTTTCTGTCAGACAGGGCTGTCTCCCTAAAGCAGGGTTTAAAAAAAATAGCATTAAACTCAGGAGAAGGTGGGTTTTATATAGCCCAAAAAACCCTGTAAGACTAAGGAGTTTTCAAGTGTTGGGGGCTCTCCAGAGGAATTTTGGTTACATAGGAGCTTAGCTGAACATTTCAAAATTATTTGGCAGAACATTTTATCTTATCAGGGTAGAGGTTAAGGTATAGAGTGTGGAACATGTCAAATTCCAGAAAATTGGTCCAAGACATGGTCAAACCCAAGTTTTACAGAAAATAGGAATGAACTTATTTTGACCTTGTAATAAGATGGCTTTTAATCTTAAGATGGAGTCAGGCTGGTCAATCAATTGCTCCATCTATGGTGGCCTTGGGGTTCTTGTCACAAGCCTACTTACCCTACCCTTCATTGGAAGCCCTCAGTTAGACTTGCTCTGTGTGTCCTGGATCTTCTTCCATCCAAGTAGCTCAGCTGCATGTTGATGAGAATGCCTTTAAGGGGTCCTTGGCCTGCTACCAAATCCAGAAGATTTAGTGGTGGGCATGAGACCTGAGACACTGTGTGCCCTCTGCATGAGGAGGAGAAGGAGGAGGAGGAGGAGGAGGAGGAGGAGGAGGAGGAGGAGGAGGAGGAGGAGGAGGAAGAGGAGGAGGCTCAAAGAAAGACCTGGGGGAGAACTGAGGCCCTTCTGCTTCAGTCTGCCTCTCTTTTTAAGGTCCATTAGTCAGCTATCCCACACTCCACCTGAGGGTGGGAAAGTGAGGTCTTGGCCTGGGTGTCTGTGACCCAGTGAATAGGAAAAATTATAAACAGAAGACAATCTATCTGGGGCCTCAGCTGAGCTGGAGCTGGGCTTCCATTCCCAAGGTACTAAGGCTGCTTTCAGGCTCATGGGAATGGAAATGGAAGTGTGGGTGTGTTTTGCTCCTCTGCTATCTCAAAGGTGCTCTGTGCCTGTGTATGTGTTTGCAGACTGCTCCTGTCCTCATTATATTTGCAGACCACCTCTGCCTAAGCTCAAAGTGCAGAGCAAGTCTTCGTGAATAACAGGCCCCTAGGCGTGAGCTACCATCAAGCAAGTAGAAAATAGCAGGAATGGGGTTAGACTTCCAACTGAAGGACACCAGGGAGATCAGGACTAATCACTTCCCCAGCTCACTGGATCTTCCATCACCTCACAGGCCTGCCTGCCGAGTCCCCTGCTCTGGGGCAGCTAACCTTCTCTCACGTTGTTCTTCTCCCCCTGTTGGTGACCCAGCGTAATAATCTGGGGAGGCAGGTGTAGAGATGCACTCCCTCTTGCTGTGGGACTGGTGGAACTCCAGCAATGACCCAACCCCTTCTCACGAGAGGTTATCCATTCCAGTTCTGAGAGCTTCTAGAGATTTGAAGAGTTATAATTTTACATAGTGACTTCATAGATCTTCCAGCTGCCTCAGCCCAGCCCTTGGTGACACTTGGATTTAAAATTTAGCAGCCCCTCCTCTGGACACCTGAGGCAGGACCACACCTTCAACCTGGGCTCCTCAGTAGCTGGCCCTGCCTCCTGCACACTGGCCTTTATTACTCTGTTAATTTGGAAAACAGGTCACTGGAAATTAAATTTCTCAAAATAGATCATCAATTATAACTACATTCTATTAAAATAAGAGTGTCTGAACTCTTTCTTACTATAATGGAAAGCCACATTCTTGCTGCTGAATTATTGCTGGTTCTACGTCTTGCAGACACCCTCCCTCCAGACTGTGTTAAATGCTCCTGGGAGGCCCTGACATGGCTTGGAATCTTCAGAAGTCACTGCACTGACAGACAGATCACATGAGAACAACAGGTAAGATACTGAGCCATCAATAAAAACAAGCAAGTTATATTCATCAGAAAAATGGTATCTTCTGATCTTCGTCCTCAAAACACGGTGGTCTTCGGTAGCAAGGACCACCCTTGTGTGGCCTTGTACCCAAGTCAGAGCTACTTGAGAATGCCTTTGAGCATTCAGGTAGAGAGCCAGGGAGTCTGACACAGAGACCCAGCAGGAATGCTTCCATGCTCTGTGTCCACATCCTTCACTCCACAGGAGCTCATGAAAAACAAGTGTAGCCATATGGAGGCTGAGGAACTTGCTCAATCACACAGCCTTATGTCTTGACCCCTCACTGTGTCTTCTGAGGTCCTTTCTTGGATGGGTAAGTCCTATTTACTCCTTAAGAGAAAAAAGAGCATGGGCCTACCTTAGCTTACATAAGCCACATAGTTTATATTGTCAACCTGACAGGAACTAAAATCACCAAGAAAGGAGCCTCTGGGCTTGTCTGTGAGAGACTTTTTTCTTTTCTTTTTCTTAAAAAAGTTTTTAGGTTTATTTATTTTATAAGTGTTTTTCCTGAATATATGTGTGTGTACTACATGCATGTCTAGTACTTGTAGAATTTAGAAGAGATCGTCAGATCCCCTAGAACTGGAGTCACAGATGGTTAGGAGGCACCATGTGGGTGCTGGGTGCTTGGTGCTTGGAGTCAAATCTTGATCCTCTGCAAGAGCAATAAGTGCTCTTAACTACTGAGCCATCTTTCCAGCCCTGGTATCTTTGTTGGGTTTTCTCTTGCTGTGATAACACATCGTGATCAAAAGCAACTTGGAAAGTATAGAGTTTATTTCATCTTACATGACCAAGTAAAAGTTCACCACTGAGGGAAGTCAGGGCACAGATTTAAGCATGGCAGGAACCTGGAGGCAGGAACTTTAGCAGAAACTGTGAAGGAATGCTGCTTACTGGCTTTCTCCATGGCTTCCTCAGCCTGCTTTCTTATAGCACCAGGACCACCTGCCAAGGGATGGCCCCACTCAGTTATCTGGGCTCTCCTGTATCAAGTATTAACCAAGAAAATGCCCTGTAGACTTGCCTACAGGCCAACCTGATGGATGCATTTTCCTTCTTTCTGACCTCCCTCCCTCCCTCCCTTCATTCTTTCCTTCCTTCCTTTCTTTTTTCTTTCAACATGGTCTCTCTATTATACAGCTGGCTCTCCTGGAACTCACTATGTAGACCAGGCTGGTCTTGAACTCACAGAGATCCACCCATCTCTGCCTCCTGAGTGCTGGGATTAATGGTGTGTGCCCCCACACCCAGCTAGGAGGCATTTTCTTGATTGAGGTTCCTCTTCTCAGATTGCGGGGGACCCAAAACAGCTTGACCACATAGATGCCATGATAGGCTCTTAGAAGCTCAGACATAGCTTCTGGCAAGCAACCTGGACCCACGAAAAGCCATAAACTGACCCCACCCAGGGAGGCCTGTATCTAAGGGGAAATGCCTGCCATTCCAAACATTCCCTAGACCCCAGAAATCCCTTCACCCCAACCTCTGCTAAGATAAAAACCCCACCCTGCCTGGGCTCGGGGCTTCTCTGCTATCACTGCTGCGTCGGACAGAGAGCCCAAGCTCTGAGCTTGAAAATAAAGGCTCTTTGCTTTTATATATGGAATTCGGTCTCTGTGGTGGTCTTTTGGGGGTCCCCATGGTCTGGGCATAACAAGATAACTCTAGCTTGTGTCAAGTAGACAAATAACAGCAATAAACCAACAAGCAGAATACCCAGTGTTTTCTTGATCATGTTGATTGAGTTCAGAACATTCATCCTGAATGCAGGTGGCATATCCTGTGGGCTACGGTTTTCGACTGAATAAAAAGGTCAACGGGAGCCAAGCACCAGCTTTCATTTCTCTCTCTCTGCTTCCTAACTGCCAATGCTATGTAACCAGCTGCCTCACACTCTTCCTGCCATGTCTTCCTCACCATGATGGCATGGTCTATTTGTGAAATTATTAAGGCAACTCCATGTAGTTAAAAGGGAGGTTTATTTTGTGGGGTAACTCACAAATGAAGGGATAGGTAACAGGGTGTATATTGATACAAATGTAAATTTACATCTGTCATACTGTATGTATGTTCTACTTCTGTTTAGGATATTCTGTATATTGATACATATTTAAGATTATTGTCATATTGCATATTGCACTATAAAAAAAGGTGTAGCGCAGTCTGGCGGTGTTCTCTGGAGAACTCTGCTCGGTGTACCTCCAGCATCCAGGGTCCAGGCACCAAGAGAGCTGGCCCATCCAGATCTCGGGTCTTCAGGGTCCTCTCTCAGCCCCACCTTGTAGATGTGACAGTTACTGAAGTCTCAATGGGGGTTGGAACCTCCAGATCAAAGCTGGAATGGCTCCCCACTACATCTCCCCCTTTTGTCTAAATAAGAAGGTTCTAACCTAATACAAGACTATATACAAAGGAATGGTTATCAAATATTGTCCAGGAGTAATGAGGGATAATGACCTAGATAAGATGGAACTACAACCAATGCAAACAATATCAAGCAAGAAACACATACATCCAGAGAAGTCTAGAGCGTTGGTAAATGCATGTTACAAAGATCATTCCAAAAGGTGTCCTATCCTAAAGAACCTGAATCTAATACTTAATATGTTCTATCTAAGATTATATATATATATTATTATATATTATATTATATATATACTAAGCTGTAACTATAACTGCTAGTCTTTAATCCCATCAAAGACATGAGAAGGAATATAATGGTACCTGAGAAATGGAAGATGGATGCAAGCAACTTTCAGGAATCTTGTAAGAGTAGACAGAGGCAGCTGGCAGCCTGGACAGTCACCTAATGTTTCTCAGCACTGTTGGTGTATTCAAATTGGCTACAGGCCTAGAGTATCTGACAGACCATTTTTAGAAGCAGGAATTCTGAAAGACCATCTTACCCTGTCTTGGCCGAGTTCAGAAGTTACTTTTTCTTGTGTCCTCCTTGTCCAGAAGGATAGCATTTATACTGTTAGCAGTTGAGGCAAGGGCAGTTCTTTGTCCAATAGGCCATTTTATGCCAAGAAGACAAACTTCCAAATGGAAATGTCTTAGAAGCCCAACATTCTCTCGGGATCAAATTGGTGCTGCCAGGAGCAATTGTGTCTCGCGTCAACAGAATTCTAAGTTATTTAAATGTCATATTCTCTAGGTCCAAGAAATGTTTGAAGACTACCTGTCCATCGGACCTATGTTATCTGTGAATCTGGATAACTTAACTAATATAACTATAGAAATGACAAGCATAGGTGACTATAAATCTATAAGTCTTATCTACCTAAATAACCTAAGGACTAAGGCTTCCCATAAACAAGGTAAACAGTCTATAAGCAAATATACTGTAAAGGACGATGTCTTCAAAATTGTGACAATACACAGGATATTTATAACAGAGGTAGGAATGTATAGTGCAATATGCAACATGACAATAATCTTAAATATATATCAATATACAGAATATCCTAAACAGAAGTAGAACATACATACAGTATGACAGATATAAATTTACATTTGTATCAATATACAAATATTTCAAATAAGAGTAGAAATATATGTACATCATAACAAATATAGTTCTGTATTTGTATCAATATACAAATTATCTTAAACAGGAATATAAAAATAGTTTACATTTGTATCAACATACAAGAATCCATAACAGTGCAAATTATAGTGCAAATTATTTAAGGCTGCTATTTTACTAAATTTGTTTACTAGTATATACAATAATCTACTATAATATCTTATATCTATCCATTCCATTTCTTCTTTTCCTTTTTTTTTTTTTTGAGACCTCTCCATCTGTGAACCAGAATAAACCAATTTTCCCTAAGTTGCTTTTGCCAGGGTATTTTATCACAGCAACAGGAAAAGTAACTAACTCAAGAAGGCAGAATTACCCTAGAGACTCACTTTCTGGGGACATGTGTTGAGGTTATAGACACACAGGAAGACAAATAAGAAAAATGAATTAAAAAAAATAAATAAATATAATTTTGCTCTTCAGTTCAAACGAAAGTACCCTTTGTGGACAAGCTCTTCACCGGCAGGATTGTGCTAATTTTATTGCAATTTGTTTGCAGCGTTATGTTCTGGGTTAAGAGCACTCTGAAAATGATTCTTTTCAGAGTGCGGTAGAGGAGCCGCTGGGCTGACAGGCTGATTGCCAGGCTGGCAAGTGATGTACTCAGTGACGTCAGTTCTCTCACACTCCTGCAGCAGAGTTGATGTTTAGGTGCTTGGTCAATAGGCTGGCTCAGAAGCTCTCCAAGGAAGTGTCCTGGGCTACCGAGACTATACACTTGCTTTTCTTTTGAGCTCCCTCTAAGGTTCCTAAAAGCTCACGTTGGACAAGCTGATAATAGGGGCCTGGTTCCGAAAGCCTTTCTGACAGCACCTGGAGTCCCTGGCCAGCAGGTGATGGGGGGACCCTTCAAGTTCCCCCAACTCCCTCCCTGCGTCTCGCTGGTGGCCAGACCTGAGGACAGTCAGGACAAACACAGTGAGTTCAGTATCTTGTGCCTTTGTTCTCTTAGATCAAGGACCCTACAACTAACTGGGAGTACCAGGCTTGTCTTCCAGTGTTTTATGCCAATTCCTATCTCTCATGTGGCACAAACCTCCAATGTCTAAATGATGAGCACTGAGAACAGAATAGGTGATGCCCCAGAATTGCAGTTTTGTAGGGGTGAAGCTGTCCAGGCACATGCTGTGGACCAGCTACAGAGCTACTCTTGGCCTGGCCTCTCCTGGACTTCTGCCTGGGGCAGCATTTAACAGGTGAATCTGTCTTGCTCAGAGTTGCCTCCTTGATGGAATGATTTGCTATCCCCACTCCAGTATATGGAGCTATGGTTTTTGGTGCCCAGGCTGAGCCTCTCTGCTGGAAGCCACTCTGGCAAGCTGGAAATAAGAACCCTTGTCCATTCACTGGGGAGAAAGAAACATTC